AGGTCTATTTTTTCTATTCATATAATTTACTCTAAATTGTGTCATATTAATATGGGACCCAGTTGCATATCACCAAACTAAATTATGCCAAAATATACTCAGAATTAAGTTTTTGATTGGTGTAGTTGTGTCCAATCATTTGATGGTCCCTCCATGTTAGGGTTTCAGTTTCACTTGATTGTGGATTAATTAGTGTTATAATTCTTTTCTCATGTTTTGACATTTGTAACTGAGGCTTTTTATCTTCTTTTTATTTACTCCAAGAGCATAATTGTTGCCACCTAATGTTTGAATTTGAAGTTACTTGCTAAATTAGAGCCAAACTACCATTTTTCCATATGCTATGTCAAATTTACATGGCAATGTTTTCCTTTATCATTTCTCATGTTACCTTACGCATTATCACGTTATTATATGTTGATATGTCCCTTCTAAATACGAAATGAGTATTTTCTTTTGAATTTTCACAAGGTTCGATCATTCGATTCTTTAACTCATTTACTACTAAATTGCAAATATATGTTGTATAATGTATATGAGTATACTAAACTGACGAAAAAAAAAAAAAAGAGTATACTAAACATGACGTAAGTGGGTCTATTGGCTCAAAAGGCAAACAAAATTAGCAACTATGGGAGGAAACAAAAAAAAATAGTAATCTACGTATAGATTTCGTTAGTCCAGTTTAGCTAAGATGTATAGTTTAATTTTGGAGTTTGAATATGAAGTTATGCTTGAAAAAGGACTACTAGTAGAACTATCAACAAATATGTTCGGACGTAAATGAACCAAAAAAAAATCTGTAGTTTATTATGGATATGACAAAAGAAAACTAAGCAAAGAGAGAAATATGCAGGGCATTGAGAGAGGTCGCATAAAGTGACAAAGGAAGGACATTTACAAGACAGATCAATATAAATATATAATGTTGTCAAATTATAACTCTAACAGACGCAGAGTCCCCGCATGGTGTCATCATTTCTCTTCATGCCCCGCTTTTTTGTATTAATTCTTTCATAAAATTTTCTTCTTTCTTTTTAAAATGATACTTTCTTTCCTTAGCTGTTCCTTATATTAAATTAATCTTTATAAATTGGTATGAACGTATATATGCTTTGTTCTAAAAATCGGTCGTCTAGCAGTCTAGACGCTGATCGGAAGGGAACCACGGTGATTTTGTCCAAATCGGTAAGAAAAATCGCTAGTCCGATTTTTGTCCGCCTATCCCGCGCGCCTAGACGGCGCCTAGCCCTTTTTTTTAATCTAAAATTCAAAACATCCCACTTATATTCGTAATTTGTATAAAAAATCATAATTTTAAGTATAAAATCTTGTTTTAATGTGTTTTATGTAATTTTAAAAATAATATTATATAAATTTCTTAATTATAATGAATTAATATGTTTTTAAAATATTAAATAGCCCTAAAACTAATCTCGATTAATTCCCGTTTAAAATATTAAATAGCCCTAGGCTCACCCTCACCGCCCGACTAGCGGCTAGCGATTTTTTTAACATGGTATATATGTGTTGTAAATTTGTACGATAAAGTTCTATTGCTCCCTTTTTGGTGGGTTTCATTAGTTGTGCCTAACCTAAAAGTCAACTTTATATGTTCCGATTTTTTGTTTGTTAGAAAGTCAACGAGATCAATGTCTTTTGGTATTTGTCTATTTGATAATTGATACTACATGTGTAGACAATGGATGCATGTGTAGCAGTGTAGACATAAGACAATGGATTCATTCCTCCTGCCTCACTCTAGTTCATTGGAATGAGCTAAGTGAAATGTTTTTGGTTCTATGTTTCGTATTATTACTGTTTATTTTCAACTCGTTAGACATCAAATTGCTGGTTCTAGATTTCGATAAACAACTACAAGTTTTGTTTGTCAACCCTATCTGATTTGCCGGTTACGTTACTCAAAACTATGGGGGATTCGTCCGAACGAACCGGACAAAACTAGTCATAGTTACGGTCCTAGTTGGATACAATGCTTAAAAAGTTAAAATGAAACTAACAATTGTACAGAGATTACTGAAAATGTAATTATTGAAGTGGTAAAGCGAGAGGAAGAAAGGTGATGGATGTGGAAACGAATAATGTAAGATTTTAAATACATATACGAAGAAAAATAAAAAACGAAATGATTACTTTCGCCAACCCACACTCCAATCTCTTCCCCACTTCTGAAGGCCCATTAATCAGATCCATATTATTACTTATAAAAAAAATCTTCTTTTTTCACAAAAAAAATTAGTAAATTACCATTTCTCTCCAAATGCAAATCATATAATAGTACTAAACACACGAACATCAACGTGTAAAAAGAAACCTATGTCATTACGAGTTACGTGATGTTCCGTTACACTATCATTCTATGTGATGTCATAGTGACGCTGTCCTTACGCTCAAGGAAAAATTTACAAACTATACAAAATACATAAATTTATTTTAGAAAACAAGTATACTATATAAAATATAAATCATTATCCAGTAAACTGTTTTCACTCTATAATACATATCCAAATATAATATATGTACGTATCCCTAATCATTCTATATCGCTATACAATGAATTTGTTAAAGATGATTCTCATACATGTTCTGTTAATCACTACGGTTTCCAAAAAAAACAAAAAAAAATCACAATTATAATTATTTGTTAATTACAATATGAGTTATTGTAGCATCACTCATATTTGTATAATGTAGTGTTGAAAAAGAAACTGAATATAATGTTTGTTATAACTTATAAGAAATCACATAATTTGTCTCTTCTTTTGTTTGTTCGAATCAACAAACGTACGGCGCCAATTACGATACTTACTAATGATGTAAGACTAACTGATGCTGCTATTATTGACGAGGTTCCTTTTTACCGACTAGAAAATCAACACGAGTGAGTGGGTGGTATTAATTCTGCGGACAGTTTAACCATGTAAGAAAATTTTAGTAATACAGTGCAAATACTTTTTAAACATATGGGTTACTAGTTACTACTTACTACGAAAAAAGGAACGATAACTCAAAAATAACTTGGGTTGCTACTTTTATTATAAAGCTCATATATGATATTTTTGAATATTAGTGTATGAAACAAAACTAACAAACGTCTTACTTTCTTAGCTAATTAATGGTTTTTTGAAACAAAACAAATCTTCTAAAATGGATAATGAATGTATTATAGCATTAGGGAGGAATATGTGCTTTGTTATAATTATAAACGTCTGTTTAACCTTATAGTATATAAAAGTGTGATGTATAAATCACTTTTATATTGCAAAATACTGATATGAGGTAATCATGCGTGTATTTATATGTATGTACACAGATATACATAAAGTAAAAATAAGTGGGCTTGGAATTTGAGAACGGTGGGGTTTCCAAACTCGATGAAACGATTACAAAATGCGATCTTGCAAAAGGTAACAAACTTTTCTCTCTTGTATGATTAATAGTATATGATATTTATATTTTTTTAGGTGCAATTTTTTAACGAAAAAATATCAAATAGGAGGCTAATTCATCAAATCATAATCATGATATCCTCACACAGGTACAGAGTAATAGATTTGCACCTAAGATTTTTCATCATTGCTCCTCCTAATCTATATATTCCTTTTTGGATTCCCAAAATAATAGCAATCGTATAAATTATTTGAGTAGTACATCATTTTGTAAGTAAATATGAAATCCTAGCTACAAGAAAGTGATAGATGTGTGTATATTCCCATCACATCTCCAGCCATTTTTTTCCATGGTGAATGATTTCAGAAATTAAATATATTGTTCAAAAGTAAAATATTTTCGAAAACACCACTTCTAGAGGATTTCGAATTATTTTGGGAAAAAATGATTACAACAATGGTGCAACTATCCCTCTCTATTCGTTTATTTTAAATCGTCTGAACGCTAACACATTACACATAACACATATATGGATTTTATTTTCAAAACGCGAAAATTGCTAAAATTAGAAGTAGTGTATTTTTTCCCGAAAACTATAGTGTCTTACCGTCTCTATATAAATAAAACTCTATAAAAAAAAGAAACTATAATTATTATTACTATTGGATTTTTATTAAATAAATCCATAAAAAAAATAGGCGTTAATTAAGAACACATGAACGCCGTTTGAGGGACGTAACGGGACGCCGTGACAAAAGCTGGCTGCCGTTTGAGCGACACGACGTTAACTCCCACTACCTCTTCATCTTTCTCTCGAGTGCCCTGACGCGTTTTCTGCTTTTTGTTCTATCTTTCTTGATTTTTCTTTTTTTTTTCTTGTTACATCAAGTAGAAAAAGAAATTGCCTAAACGACAATAGTTCATAATAATGCATCTCAATGTTTTTGAGAAAAGAAAAACTAGACGATAAAATACCATGTAACGTTAACTCATGGAATTCTTAACTACCGTAAGTTGGGAAAATAAAACATTACCATTAATCATATATGGACTAGCAAAAAAACTTAGTTTAACTCTGGTTATTCTTTCTTTTATACATCAAATTTGAACCAATAATCTTAGTTTCGAAAAGCATAAGTGGACAAATGTTTATACGTCTGTAGTTTTCCCACCAAATTAAGAATTTTTTTTTTGTGTGATAAAGACCAATTTAAGGTTCAAATCTTGTTATATTGTGAAAGTTGCAAGGCTGCATGCATAGGAAAATAAAAAAGATTTGAGTAAATGAATAGATTTTTATGCATTGATCAAATTAGTAAATTGTTATAACGTTGAAAAAAAGGTACATTGTTATAACATTTCAACAACTTAAAATTTTTACGAATTTTGGCATTGATTGGTAACCACTTTACAAAGAGATACAAAATGTTACAAAGTATACAGTTTTGACAGTTATCAATCATAAAAACATTACCAAAAGCGTTATTAAAAGTTTTACTCTCAGTTTTTTTTTTACAACTTTCTCGTACAGCTCTTTCGTACAACTTTGCACTATTCCGGAAAACCTAACTGCTAACAGCTTTTGGTTACCAATGGAACTCAATTGTATATTACTACCAAAACATAATAAAACTTTAAGTCACTTCGTTTGATATCCTATATATAATCGTTCTAAATTTTCCATAAATCAAAACATCTTAAACCTCAGTTATTTAAAACAAAAAAAAAACACACACACACATAAACATAAACTTTATTTATATCAACAAATACTTTTCAAAAAATTCCGAGATCACTAGTATATTTCAAAATCAGGCGAGTGCAAAACAAATTAGCATATTAGTCACATGTAAATTTTCGAACAAAACCAATCTAATTGGACCCACCTGCACCTTTTCTTTTTCCAACATTTATATATTAATCGAAACACTCACATGGATGGATTGGATTATCTCAACTCTCAACCCAAAATCAAACAAAATATCCAGCAAAACAAAAACTTCTCTCTCACGCACAATCTCATCTTCGTCAAGCTTTTGCGTAAAAGAAAGAGAGATGGGTGCGATAAACCAAGGAATAAGCTTGTTTGATGAATCACAAACCATCATAAACCCTATTAATACTAACCATCTAGGTTTCTTCTTCTCTTTTCCTAGTCACACCTTATCTTCATCATCTTCGTCGCCTTCGTCTTCTCCTTCTTCTCTTGGGTCTCTATTTCTAGGTCAAAACTCCTTAAACTCCTTCCGTCATAATAACCCTTCCTCATTCATAAGTCATCCTCAAGATCCCATCAATTTCATGGCGAATCTCCCCGAAACCCTAATCTCGTCTTTGTCCTCATCAAAGCAAAGGGACGATCATGATGGTTTTCTTAATCTCGATCATCATCGTCTTACCGGTGGTATATCATCCCAAAGACCTTTGCCAAATCCATGGTAAGTTACTTACGAAAATACATATAAATAAGGTTCTTCTATCTCTAGAATCTCCACACCTACAAATAAAAGATCCCAAATCTCCTCTCTTTTTTCTTTCTGGCGTAAGAACATATCGATGCCGATTAAGAGCCTAATTAAGAACGATTTAAGTGTTTTTAGTGTTTTTCCTTATCTATATACGAGTAATTTATATGCACACACAAAAAAAAAAAAAATTATATGCAAACGCTTACATATACACCGTCTTGTATAACTTGTGCATCCGAATAAAAATCAATTATAAAATCAATATTTTTTCAAAAAATATATTTAAATATCAAAAGCTCATATATTTCTCTACTACTTTCTTTTGCTTTATTGTACAGAATTTTCAATTAGTTTGAGGCAACCATGCACACAGGACTCAGCTACTTATATATAAGTAATTAGTGTTTAATTGTGTCAATGCGGTTTAGGGCATGGAGTAGTCAAGCGGGATACGGAAGCAGCCAGAAAAACAACCATGGAAGCGAGATTGATGTTGATGATAATGATGATGAGGTTGGCGATGGTGGTGGTATTAATGATGATGATAATGGTCATCATCATGATCATGATGATACTCCTCGTCGTCATGATAAACATAACACGGCGTCGTTAGGTGTAGTTTCTTCTCTGAAGATGAAGAAGCTTAAGACAAGAAGAAAAGTGAGGGAACCTCGGTTTTGCTTTAAGACTCTTAGCGAGGTTGATGTCTTAGATGATGGATATAGATGGAGAAAGTATGGCCAGAAAGTTGTCAAAAACACCCAGCATCCCAGGTACTACTTTTATTTTATTTTATCATTTTATTAATTTTATTATTTGAAATTGGTTTCCAAGTCTTTCAAATTTCAGCAGTTCTTTAATTAAGATGACTACATATCAGTTATTTCACTCTCTCTGCCTCACATTATTCCTTGAAGGTTAATGATGACTTAACATAAGAACTTTACAGACTTGAATCATCAGTTTTTTTTTCTTCAAGTTTTTAACCTTAACTAATATATATATGATGAAAATTTGTAGTTAATAATGAGCCATGTAAAGATTAATCATTGCTTTAGGATTTTGCTAAGGGAATGAAAAATTATTAGTAGAATCTTTCTGGTGTTTCTCTGTATATAAGTATCAGTTCTGTTATTACAAAAACTTTTGGCCCTCTGGGGATTAGTAGCTATACAAAAATAGGAAAAGAAGATAACCGTTAAGAAAGAAAGAAAAGTAATTTCATGTAGAAACATTTGAGTGTTATGTGTGACATAATGGGGTTTCAGTAAGATTCTTTCTCACATGTTGACATTTGACATTTACCAACATGATTTGTTTGGGTAATTGATATAGTTCTTTTGTAAAGTCTTATCATGAGCTTTGTGATAAAGTTCCATTAGTTGCCTTAATATCTAGTGTGATAAAGCACTCTATATTTGGTTGGTCATAACACATAGCATTCGACTAATTAGTCTAACCACAAACAATAATTGTTTATTCCCACATGAAATATGTACCTTTTGAGTTATGTATATACATATTAAAGCATGGATATATCTGAATATAATTTTATGAATATACAATTAATTTATAGCCTCTCTTTTAAGAATTTTGTTGATCATCGGTTTTTTTCTTTTTATTGGTCAGTACCAACAGAAATCAGAAGAAAACTATCTTCTCTTTTGCGCAGTAAATGTATTATGTTCTGATGCATTTTCAGCTTGTTGGACCGTATATATGTTTTTACCATATATTTGTAATAAGATTAACTAAATAATGAATATATAATTTGTAAATGGCAGGAGCTATTACAGATGCACACAAGACAAATGTAGAGTGAAGAAGAGAGTGGAGAGGTTAGCAGATGACCCAAGAATGGTAATCACTACTTACGAAGGAAGACACCTTCACTCTCCTTCTAATCATCTCGACGACGACTCTCTCTCTTCCTCTCACCACTCTCCTCTCTCCAACTTCTTCTGGTGATTTCAATTTGTTTTTCCTTTTGAATCAACCAATATTAAAAGTTAATTTACCTTGTCTCAAGCTGATCGATGAAAACAAGTTATACCTATATAACATGTTCTCGTTAGGAAACAGGTATGATCGATGTTATTATATTTGTAATGTGCATGATGTCATCGTGGTTTGTTTGTGTTTGTAAGATGATTAATGTACCGTTTCCAAATTGAGGACTATATAATATATAGTTGAATTAATTTTATAGTTATCCTTTCGGTTGGTTTGTATGATATTATTTGGTATATATAGTCTTCACTGCAAAACTCTAATAATATAACAACGTTTTTACTTTTTTAGTATATAATTTTCAAAAATGCACTCAAAATTTTTGGCGAAAAATGCTTTCTATTTTTAACAAGAAGAAAACTATACATACATTCCTAACAACGCAGCAAAGACAAACACAACATTTTCGCTCAGCAATCAAGGCTTCAACAGCTATAGGATATATATTTCACTGGGCCTTGGTTTGTAATTGGTAGGCTTTTCAATGTATCTTATTTTTAAACGGACCGGAGTTTACGGTGACAAAAATTTAGTTAGTTTTAGTATTTCGTTGTGTAAATTTTAGTATCAAAACTATTGTTTAAAAAAAAAAGAGCTTTGAAAAATTTGTAGAGAAATAAAAATCACAATTTTGAAAACTATTTTAAAAAATCGAATAAAAAACTTAAATGCTAAGTCTACATAATAATGCGAAAACAAATTGAATTTGTGAAATTTCTAACGATCAAACAGGATCCAAAATCCGGTTAGTTTTTACATATCATTATGTAATTTTATCATCCAAGAAAAAACAAAACAAAAATTTTTAGAAATCCGAAGAGAACTGAAAAATCATAATTTTGAAAACTTTTTTAAAAAATCGCGGGCTTCTAAATGTATCTAATTTTAATACGGGCCGGAGTCAACAAAAAACAGCCTACTGTGCCTAGGTTTCAAAATTATGGGCTTTATAATGGGCTTATTAAAAATTTACACTTGTTCACTGAAGACAAATTCTTAATGAGCCTATGGACAAGGAAACTTCTATTGGGTTTAATGTATAGACCCAAGTCCACGAACAAAGCGACCACGTGTCAACAAACCAAGAAATTTGACAAATGGATAAGCGTTTAAGCACGTGACCGTCTCGACTATCGATTCCCAAAAGTTTAATGTAAATGTTAAATATTATAACACGTTGATCAACTTAGATTATGAAACCTTATTACGAAAGAAAAAAAAAAAACAAACAAATACTATTTAAATAAAAATCATAAGTTACGAGGACATGAAAAGTTGTGACCCGCTTGCTCCGCCGAGTCCGAGGGAGACTCCCACGTGATTCCCTCGTGGACCGCACGTTCGCCACCTTAATCCAAGGTCTTAAATAATCATATCATGTATGAATGTAATTTAGTTTTAGAGCGATAGCTAATTATGTAAAAATTATATATTACACGATAGCTAATTGTGTTACTGATAGTACTCGCTATCATCAAAAGTTACATCTTTTTTTTTCCTTCTTCTATTATACTGATTTACGACATACATTACATGATTTTCCACAAACTGATTTCAATAATTATTATCAAGAAGAAAAATTTCAATAATTTTACAAGGCTCTCTTAAAGCAGTTTCAAAGTTCAAACCATTGAAAGAGTTAAGATAACGTAATCCTGACGCCCAAACATTAAGTATTGAAATGCTTTTAAAAAACTTGTTGAAAGGAGACTGGGAATTAAAAACGAGAAAGCTGGGAGAAGCTGCAAGGAGATGAATATAATACAGTATTTGAGTACTTCATTAAACATTAACGAAATCTGAGCCGTCGCTTTTTGTTTCTTTGTCTCTCCGTCGTGGAAAGAAGGAAGATTCCTAAGTGAGATGAATCCAACGATTTATTTGATTAAATTAGTTTAACATTATATCTTTATTTTTTTTGTAAGTTGTAAGAGAGCCAAACATAAAGAGACTAAATAGTATATATTGACAAAAAAAAAAAGAGATTTATATGCAGAGAAAGTATACATAGACATAATTCGACTTATAAGACCATGATAAACTATTATATTATGAGTACGTATATTATAGCAAGCAATTGCCATAATTTGACAGTAACTCGGTAAGAACAACTTTGACCGCTTGTTCGTCATGTGAAATAATATCTTGTTGGTACGTAAATTTGTATAAAGCATTATTAATCAGTGGTAAACAAAAACATACAGAATTGTAATCATTTTTGTGAAAAGAGAACGTATTTACATATTAGTTTTTTCACGACGATACATTTAAATTAATCAGTGTCGTTTTCAGAAATCTTAGCTGTATATGTATGGCAGAGAGCTCACACGCGTGGAAATTTGTTTGTCTACATGTTTACGTACAAAAAAAAGTTCTTAATTATTTTCTTTGTTTCTAGCTTTGTGTAGTTCGTACATGGTCGAAACCTCAATTTCTAAACAATTTATTTGAGAACAATCTTTAGCCCGTGCGGGGACTTTTGTACGTGAGAAAGAAGCCTCGAGAATGAACAAAACTACGATTAGATTGATTCAACTTCAGATTTCCATTCCATAAGCATAGCTATACATATATATTGATTAATGATTATGTATTACCTACACATCGCAATCCTCCACTTATATGCCTTACAGAAAAATATCTAAATGCATGGACCGTCTTGCACTTGACCATATTTTCAATTTTATATGTACATAATTAACAGATACATGACGACGTTTCAACGTGAATTATTGGTTTTATATTGAAAAAAAGAGGTCTTAAAATGATAGAATGGTTTTGTAATTATGAGTTCTTACAAATTGCATAATCCTTTGGAATCGTAACCCTTTATGTATTCAGATATTCCATAATTCTATCAAATTTATCATAGGAAACCTTCTTCCACCGTTTTGCAAATTAGTGATGTTTTTACTAATTTTCTCTTCAATTTCACAATTTTTATCATTTGCAGCTCAGAAATTTTGAATCATATATGGATAAATTTTGTGGATAGTGGCTTATTTGCATTGTGCTTATTCCTGAATTTAATTATATATGTGACTCGATTTCTTGATATCAGACAAAGAGCAATGAAACCCACGTACGTACCCAATAATTCCGCGTAACTAATAGTATTATTGACAAGTTGTCAAAATAATAGTTTATAATTTTTTTTTTTTTTTTGTGTTTATAAAATTTCTTAAGGCATATGAAAAAAATCAAAATGTATTAAGAATATTTATTAGGAAGATAATAAATTAATTAAGAGAATTGTATGGACGAGAAGGAAACACACGTGGGAGAGATATGAGAGAGAGAGAGAGAGAGAGAGAGGAAGAGGTCAATTCGGCGGAGACAGGAAAGGGACGGCGGCCCACGGCGGAAGGAGACGTTGTTAGGGGAAGTTTCCGACAAGAACAGCTTGCATGCACGGTGGCCCACGTGCTCCGTACCCACCACCGTCGCGCGTGTTCCGCTTGATAGCTACTCATCTCTTCTCTCTCATCCTCTACAGTTTAAGCGCGTGTGTTTATACGTGCCTATGTCAGTGTCTTGTCTAGATGAATAGTAGTGTATTGGTGTGAATGTCCACGTATCCGTATCGTATTTGTTTCAAGTTTTTTTCTTTCTATAATGTTCCTTAGAAATACATGATCATAGAGTACAGTATATAAGAAGCATGAATCATCCGTAGCTAATATTCAAATACAACATTTAAGACGTACTTTCCGAGAAAGACACAAATTATAAATATCTAGGTTCCAATACGTAATACGTGGAATCTTACAAATCATATATCTATGCGAAATATTTATTGATAAAGGTAAATTAATGACTATAGTCAAAGACAAATTGATGGATCTTGGAAGATAAAAAAATTTGGATACAAAAGCTAATGTTATAGTATTAGACTAAAGCTAACATTTAACCCAAATAAACCTTTCTTTAAGTTTCATCATCAAAAGTCTAAACTGATGATTTTTTTTTAGTTTGGGTAGTAGTGAGAAAAGAAAAATAAATTAATCAAAAGATTAAGACGAAAGAATTTTAAAGCAAGGAACACGAAATCCAAAGAGCGAGGGGAGTGAAGACAGTCCACGTAGCTGGAGAGACAAAGAGAAGAGCACGTGAGGCGCACGTTCCTTGTGTAAGACTTGTTGTGGTAATGTTGGTGCAGTGTCTCACTGAAACATGAATGAAACCCAGACTTTGTTTTAATTTCAGGCGAAGGTCCATTTCTCCATGTTATATATCAATCTCTTATTTATTAGCGAAAATGTTTAAATTTATAAAAATCCATTGATCACCCTATCATTTTCGATATCTAAAAGATACATCTATTCTAATGTCTATAGAGTTTATCTTATTATGCAATACATATCCTCCCATTTGCATATTGCAATTTATGACATCAAAAAACAAATTAGTAATCATTCTTTTGATTGTAAACTATAAGGTATGCGTTCTACTTCGGCCAAAATAAATTCAGTAGTAATGGAAATATTTTTGATAATTTGCACTGAATGAGGTAGATGGATATAAATATAGTCCAACGGTTCAATTTCACCAATAATAGTATATAGCAAAAAAAAAAAAAAAAAAGTTTAATTCAGCATAGTTCAAAAGGGACCACATTGGTCATGTAAAAATATTACACCCATAAAAAACAAATTCAAGTCTCATCTATTCTCACTTTCCCATTCCCGTGCACTGTGAATTCCCCAAATTAATTCCGACAATAATGAAATAATATGTCACGTGCATTTACATGAACATGATCAGTCGAGATTTAATACACATTGGCTCTTTCTTTCTTTCTTCATGATTCATTTCATTTAGAAAATTACTTAGGAAAAAAAATAATTTGTCAGCAACGTAGAAATCTTCATAGAACTAAAACGCAAACATTACAAATCCCTCCCCAAAAAACTGTATATTTACATATTTTTAACAAAGTTATTACTTAGTTCTCTTCTCCATCCCCCAATTCGACCGAGCCCGAAAAAAAAAACATCCGTCTTATGTATAAATAACATAGATACATACATTTAGAATATAGTAGAAAATACAAAAAAATAGACCCAAGGAAAATCGGACTGACCCTTAGATGATTGATGTTCAAAGAATCTGCTTTGGCTCTGTTTCTAACTCTCATAATTTGCCTTCAGGAACTTCTTTAATACTCATATCAACCATCTCTATTGTACTGAACCCTCCATCCTCTATTGATCCGATCGTCGACTGTGAATCTATCCCTGACCCGGCTTGTATCTCCTTAAACATCGCCATCACTTGTACCATAGTCGGTCGTCTCCAAGCCCGATCATCCAAACACGCAACCGCAACTTTTAAATGTTGTAAAAGTTCGATCTCTAATGCTGGATCTTCCTTCATAAGCTCGGGGTCAAACACGTCGCTAATCCGCAGTTTTGCATGCTGTTTCACCCATCCAACAAGGTTGTTATCTCCAAAATCCGGTGAATCGGTTGGCCGTTTACCAGTGAGTAGCTCGAGTAAGACCACACCGTAACTATAAACGTCTCCTTTTGTTGAACATCTGAAACTTTGGTAATACTCCGGAGGAACGTAACCCGGTGTGCCAGCTAATGTACTGACGCTTAAATGTGTATCCATCGCGCTCATCAGCCGTGCCATGCCAAAATCTGAAACCCGAGCTTCCAAATTCTCATCCAGCAAAACATTACTAGATTTCATGTCTCTGTGGATGATATGCGGACTGCAGTTGTGGTGAAGAAAAGCAAGCCCTCTAGCTGATCCGATTGCGATTTTCCGCCTTGTGGACCAGTTTAGTTTCACGCCAGCTTTCTTCGGATCGTGCAAAACATCTTCCAAACTTCCATACTTCATGAACTCATACACAAGAAGCCGCTCGTCTCCAACTTTGCAGTAACCAAGAAGAGGCACAAGATTTCGGTGTTTGATCTTCCCAATCGTTTCCATCTCTGCCATGAACTCTCTGTCACCTTGACCGCTAACATGAATCAGTTTCTTGATAGCCACCGCGCTTCCATCTTTCAAAATCGCTTTGTAAACATCTCCAAACCCACCGGATCCAATCAGACTATCGTTGTCGAAACCGTTTGTGGCCTTAAGAAGATCCGCAAACGTGAGTTTCCGCAATGGCTTCTCGAAAGCAGCAAGATTGATACTCAAGGCTTCTTTCACACCCGTCAGCTTCCAATTGGTGTTGTTAGCGGTTCTATCGCCGGAGTTTCCATGTCCTTCCGCATACATCTCCAATTCCGCCTCTTTCTTTCTCCGTCTCTTCCTCATCTCTCTACCAACAAGAATCAGCCCAAATATACACACAAAAGAGAACAACAATCCCATCGCCACGCTACCAGCAAGAGACGCTGGTCTCCTTCCATGAGATCTCTGATGATGAGCATACCCGTCTGCATTTGAGGGATCACACCGCGGAAGCGGATAACCACAGAGACCAGAATTGTTCAAGAACTTAGCCGGTGGAAAAGTCTCAAACTGACCCATCTCAGGAATCGGACCAGACAAATTATTATTCGACAAATCGATTTCCGTAAGCATAGTAAGCGCTGACATAGCCTGAGGAATCCTCCCTTCGAGCTTATTGCTTGAGAGATCAAGAATGTTTAACCCTCTCAGATCACCTACCTCATCAGGAATCGAACCAGAGATAAAGTTATGACCCAAATTGAGAATAAACAGATAAGGCATCGAACCAATCTCCTTTGGTATGTACCCAGACAACATGTTATAAGACATGTCCAGAAACATCATCGAACCGTTGTTATCAAACGTCGGCGAAGTGTGACCTCCATAGACTCTGGTGAAATTACAAGGGTTCCTCGTTGAAACCCGGATAAGTTGTTCCGGTCTGATTCCTTGAAACTCAAGTAAATTACCAGCTCCGTGACACTGTTTCTTCATCCCATCGTTTTTAATGTAAACGTACCTCTTACCGGCGATGAAATTGGCAGCGATTTTCCCGGATTGTTTGAACATTTCCGCCGGAATCGTTCCGTTGAAGGAATTGGTGTTAAGATCAAGCCAGATTAAGCTTCTGCAGTCGCCGAGCTCAGCCGGAATGTTTCCGTAGAATGAATTGTTGCTCAGCTTGAGGATAGCGAGATTCTCTAACCGGCCGATCCACCTTGGAATCTGACCGGTTAACCGGTTATTCGAGAGAGAAATCCAGTTCAGATTGGTACAGTTACTTAAACCGGAAGGGATTTCACCGGTTAAATCGTTGAAGTCGAGAATCAGAGTCTCCAAGGTCTTGACATACATGAGCTCCTGAGGGATCTCTCCTTCTAACATATTCAGCCATAGTTTCAGATCTCGAAGCTTCGACAGAGAGCCTAAGCTCGAAGGGATTGTCCCGGAGAGGTAATTGAAGCTCAAGTGAAGCGAAACCAGCTCAGAACAGTTGCTTAAAGTCGGTGGAATCTTCCCGGTGAAGCCATTGTTCTGAAGGTAAAGCTCCTGCAGAGTGTTTTTAGGGTTCCGGCAGAGATTCGGGAGAATCGGACCGGAGAAATTGTTGGAGCTGAGATCTAACGTTAGCAACGAAGCGGATAGATTCATCAGAGATTCCGGTAATTCGCCGGAAAACTCGTTGAAAGACAGATCAAGTACTTTAAGTCCTCTCATCTTCAACAACGTATCCATCGGTAACTCGCCGGAGAAGTTGTTACTCGACAACGCGAGTGATTCCAGAAGAGAACAAGAACCGAAGAATGGAGGAACCGTACCGTAGAAATCATTTCCAGAGAGATCAAGACCAGTGAGTGTATCACACGCGCCGGAGAGAAACTCAGGGATCTCGCCGGTGAATTTGTTCTCAGCCAGAGAGAGGTATTGGAGACTTTTAAGCGGCAGTGGAGGGATTGGTCCGACGAATTGGTTACCGGAGATGTTCAACAACTTGAGCTCAGTGCAAGTAGAGATAGCACGAGAAAAATCGCCGGATAATTTGTTCCCGGAGATGTCAAGATGTTGCAGAGCAGAGCAATCTCCGAGGAAAGGAATCCCAGTGGAGAAATTGTTCGACGAAACATCGAGAAACTCGAGATTTACGCAATGAGAAACATCAACGTCTCCACTGATTTTGTTTCCGCTAATCGCTAAATGCTTCAACTCTCCACAGCCATCGGAGAGAACCCAACCAACGACGTTAGCACCGGAGAGTGAATTCGAAGAAAGATCCAGAACTTCCAAGCTGTTTAGCTTCAACCCACCTGAAACTTTCCCGGGAAAATCAAGAGTATTGGAGGAGACGTTAAGAAATTTCAGACCGGAACAAGAACCAAGACTTGTTAGACTCGTTACAGGACCCGAAAGAGAGTTCCTTGATAGATCCAAACTGGTTAAAGAAGCAGAGCACTTGAAGCCAGAAATGGAGCCATTGATGTGTGAGTTTGAGAGAAACAGAGACTCTAATCCGGTGAGAGACATAAGAGATGAAGCCACGGCACTGAACCCAACGTTGAGAGGCTTGGAACTGAGATCAATCGAAGTAACCTTGTCGTCTCTGCAAGTAACGCCATCGAAAGTACACGGGTTTTTGTTGGAAGACCAGTCTGGGAGAAGATTCTTGTCAGGAAGAACGTTTTTGAAGCTTATAAGCTGATGGATTTCTCTGTATAAAGACTGAGATGGTGAAGCTTGAAATGAAAGAGAAAAGAAGGAGAAGAAGAAGAGAGTTGTTATAGAGAGAAAGAAGCTTGAAAAAGTCTTCATTCTCAGAGTTTTTTGAGAGAGAAAAGTGTGGAAGTAGAGAAGATGAGAGGGGGAATCTAGGGTTTTGGTTCCACCATTAGAGATGAAGTGGAAGCTCTGGAGAGAGAGAGAGAGAGAGAGAGAGAGAGAGATTTGGAAACGCTTAAAGAGAGGAGAGAGAGAAGAGTGGAAGAAGGTATTTATCAAATGGTGAAGGGAAGAGTGGTCACAGCTGTGCACTCACATGCCATGTTACCTCTTCTTCTGATTATTATAAAATTATATTCATTTCAATTTCGATAACAGATACAAACAAATAATACTACTTTTAATTATTGTATGTGTTTATATAAAAAAAAAATTAATTAATGCAAGAGGATACAAAAAATAAATAAAATAATGGCACACAAAATCCTTAATCTCATTGTATAAACCTTTTTTAAAGTTTTAAGTTAAAGAAATGAGGTCTTTGTCTGTACATGAGAGAGGTGTTTAATTAACGTGAGATTAGGGGATGGGATCAAGTCTTCCGCAAGCTACATATCCTATTTAGTATTTACCCTTTTAAAACTCTTCTTAAGACTTTATTAAATTATTTGTATATAGTTTACCCCAACCACCTATCACTTCTCGTATTCAAAACACACACAAAAGTCTAATCTGATTTTTCGGTTTGGTGCTGGTTTAGTTTTTGTTTTCTTTTCTATAATAAGCATATATGAATACTAATTTTTATATTTAAAAACTACAGATTTTTCAAGATAATTGACGTTATTTTTTCTTCTTACTTGGTTGGATCTTGATCGGTGAATTATTGCTGTATGCACTCACTGTCACCCAATATGCAAAACTTTTGATTCTGATATAAAGATGCCAGCAACTAACTAATTCCACATTTATGGACTAATGGTTAAATAGTGTTCAGTAAAAATGGAACATAGTATAAGCATCTAAATTTCTTTTATATTGATACTCATATACAACAAGATTTTGAGCATTCAATGTGATGGTTAGAAAGAGTTCAAATTTACTTTAATGTTAAGGTAATATAAATAGTTTTTACATGAATTTCACACCAACCACAAACATTTCACATTAACACTCGTCTCATGTTCACTCGCACTTGTATCTGAAAAAAATAAAAATAAAGTGGAGGAGAGACAATCTCTCTAGCTTTTTGCAAAAGAGAAAAAAAAAAAACGAGCGTACGTGTGAGCGACGATTGGGACATGAGTGTCAATTAATGGCAGATTCCATCTCTTTTTAAAAATTATTAATTTTGTTGTAACCATTATTATTAGTTTTCGCTAAATCTTTTCCCACTAATTAATCTCTCCTTTTACTTTTAAACTGCTTTC